AGGTATAACTTTTTCTTTCTCGATAGTTACCAAAAAAGGGTGCCCTTCATAATCATTTACGGTTCCTTTTTGTAGAGGAAATTTATTTAGCTTATAGAAAACACGCCTTACGTGCTTTTGCGCACACTGAAAGCGTGTTGTGCTTTTTCGCACGGAGCTTTTGTTTGAAAACTTTAACACGCTCTTTTGTTCGACTTGGTCACGCTTAATTGTCTCAAGCGTGTCCTCTGAAACAAAAGAAATTGCTAATGAGGCAAGATTGTAAGCGTGTTAAAGCGTGTTAAAATAAATTCTTTTGTTTTAAAGTGAAAGCGTGTCGTGCGCGTGCTTTCACCTTTAGCATTGAAATCCTGTGGAGGGTCACAAATAAGGTCCAAAAATAGATTAGCATTATTCACAAGACTATTACGCACTCGGTCGGAAAAGTACTAGCCGGGATAAAAATAAAATAGTCGTAATAATAATAGCCGGAAATGTACTGGTCGAAATAGTATTAACTGGAAAACTACTAGCCACGAGTTTGAGCGGAAAAGTACTTAGCATCGACTTCATTGTGGGGTATAAGACGTGGCTTGTTCCTCGCGTGTTCATCGTCTTTGTCTCTAGACCTGACACGCTTTGCGAGTTCGACCGGTCAACTCTCCTCCGTTCCTCCAGGGGCACCCAACGAGAATATAGTTCAAAACCACTTAAACATAGCATTGTTAAACGTGTTTTAGTATTTCAACGGTGGATATGGGCATATTTTTATCCCCTATAAATTTTTCATCTGTTCGGATTTCCTAGCTGAAAGTCTAGTGATCCGAAAATTATAGGGATCAAAACTTACCTGTTCGAAAATTTCAGCCGGAAAAAGGGCTTCCGAAAGTTCTAGGTGACCTTTTTAGGGTAAAAATCCGTTGAAAATGGGCAATTTTACCATTTTTTAGATGTTCGAAAATCCTAGGAGAGGCAGGCAAGCAAGAAATTTTACAACAAATGTTCCGAAAATTCTAGATCTCAAATCGTCTTCCGAACAGATATTTTTCCGAAAATTGTCGTTGGGTGCCCCTGTTCCTCCGCCTCTCTTACAGTACATTTAACCCAGGTGCTTTTTTCTCTTTGCCAGAGTTTAATAATTCAAAGAATCGTAGCTAATTACCTCAGTTGGAAAACTGCCGGTCTTCTGAGAGGGAGATATCATGCTGGCTGTGCCGGGATAAAACCCTTCAGGACTCAATTCAGAAGATCGCGCATTGACACGGGGCGGTGACGTCAATTACGCCGGGGCCTTATCTCTTTCATCCTCACACATCGGTTGGAAGGGGAAAACCCGTTACATTGTTCGCGAAGAGAGTAGGGAAGTCGTAGGTCCCGGTGTCATTGTGTACTTACCATGTACATGGGAAAACCGGAAATTCAGGTTGGAAATTGAAATCAAATGGTTTTCGCTATTCTGTTTGGGAAGCTTCAGAAAATATGTATGTGTGTGACGAGTGAAATAAGGGAATAATTTCACGCGCGTTTTGCCCAAATCCTCATAATTTCCCGACCCTTTTCAATTTTGGATTTTTGACAAGTTTATCCTGGATCGTATCGATCGAGAACTCCACTCTCTCGAACGTTTAGAGCTTAAATTTGGCTTAAGTTCAGAATTTTTCGTCAAAATACCTGTTAGAATCCTTCTTGATGTGCTCTTTCATGTGTTCAGGTTTTCTAAAGCGTCTTTTTAAGCCCTGGCATCTTCATTCAAGACATTTTAAAACTTCGTCGCCATCTTGACACTGAGACGTACGGAAGGTTGCCATGGCAATTTTGTAATTTCACATGTGAAATTAAAAATTATCGCTGAAATTTCGCCCCAAAGTTAAGGAGTAATTCGTCACCTATGATATTAGGGCTGTAATTTGAGGCGATGCATTTGTGATATTCTTTGTAGCGGGTGCTTCTTCCACCTGTTTATACACACGATTTCAACCCTGGTGGGTTGTGTATGGTAAGCGACCATAGTCTATCTGACTTGAGCCCTTATTGGTGTTGGTGGGCGAGGTGAGATCAAACATGGACGGCTCCGATTTGACTACTGGGAACAATAATTACAACCTCGTTTCGTTTCCAGTTATCTCGTACCCAGATTCTTCGGGCTCTTTGGTCAGTGGGCGACCACCCGCTGACCAAAGAGCCTGAGGACTCTAAGCAAGAGATTCCGTTTCCAGCAGCCTCTCTCGCTTGTCATCCTGGGATGATGAAAGAGAGACCCTAGGAAGGGAAATGTTATAATCAACGTTAGTATACAGCTATTTCGAGAAAGGTTGTCGGAAAAAGTGGACGCGACAATCTCGGAAGGTATTGTGGGTGGTTTTGAGTTCACTCAGTCTTCAAAGACATTTGCGAAAATGGCAGGAGAGGCCATGGACATATGTTTGCGAGTGCTAAAGGAAAGTAACAAAAGTAGGTTCTACAGCTACAGTGTCAGGAACAGTGAATTGATCATATCCCATATTACCTTTCGGGATTGTCGCGTGCACATTTTTTCCGACAACTTTTCTCGAAATAGCCGTATACACACTAAGGGCCTGTTTACATGGAGTGGGGGACCCCGGTCTAGTGGGGTTGGTTTCTTTTGTTTTCACGCTCTGGGGGACACAAAACAAAAGGAAACTACCCCACTAGACCGGGGTCCCCCACTCCATGTAAACAGGGTCTAAGTGATCTTGGTGATTTAAGCAATCTGATTGGTTCGCTATCTCGGACTATTCAGCAATATTCACCTCCTAGCGAGTGGATAATGTGTGAGCTCTGTTTTTTTCCCATTTTCTTAGAGAAAGATCTTTTAAAAGTCGACAATGTCCTGGGGTTGACTTTTTTTCAGGCAAGAAAAGACTTCGAAGGATTCAAAACGGCGTTTTGTACTGTTGTTGAGTTTTGTGGTCGATGGATTGTTTACAACTCCCGTTTATTCGCCTAGAAGAGGCCGTTTCGTGAACTCAGCGTTTCCTAACAAGAAAAATTTGGCCCAAAAACGAAGTTTATTTATGACAAACAAATTTGAAAGCAAATGTTTGCAGAAATTCTACGTTTCAAGTAAATAGGGAAAAGAATGCCACATGAAGACGACGTCTTACCTCGAGGAACCGAATCGCCATTTTTGTCGGCACTTCATGCGAAGAACGACACAACAAACCTTTTCGGCTATAAACTTGGCGAGTCAACAGAAAACATCAAAGCTCTTCTTTTCTTCTCAGGTAAGGGAACAATTCAAACTTTTAGCGGTTCCATTTAAGTCATTACGCTGTTGTTTACGAAGTGATAAGCTTGTGAATTGCCATGTTTGAAAATTCTACAAAGATCTATTTTTAAACTGTCGCGTGTCTAGCTGACCTGATCTGTCAATCAAATCGTACTTTTGAATGGTTTCCTCTCTGATTTTGTTGAGATCACTTCGTGTGTATATACTAAAACAATTATTCTTTTCAATCTCGGTGAATAGTGGCTTAGTAGCTTTAGGAATATTTTCCTCGCCACTTCATGGCTCGGTAAATATTTTGCCACTATTCACCTCGATTTCAAAGAATAATTTTTTAATTAGACTTAGCTACATAATTCCCGAAAAATTGTATAAAATTCTTTCCGGATTTTCCCAAAAAAAAGCTCTAAATTTTTTTTTAGAAACGTCTAAAATTCTCCAAAAACTCCGGAAAATTCTTTAAAATTTCGGTTTTTTTAATAGCGATATAACAAGAAACAACATGAGTTGTACGACCCATATTGGTGAATAACTTCTGATAAGATGTAATGTGTATGACTCTGATGAGAAACCGCTGTGCTCAGTGCTCTAGACACTGGTGTATGTAGGATATGAACGGACTGACCCCTCTCTTGGTAGGGTGGAATACAAACAAAAACGTTTTGTCAACGTTTTTTGCTTGTGAAATGTTGCCAACATGTCAGGAGAAAGTTCAAATAGCTCTAAAATTTTCGAATTTGTCAATTTTTCCCTTAAATTCCCGAGATTATCTAAAATTTTTTTTGATGTCTTAAATTCCCCCCAAAGTCCTGGAATCATGTAGCAAAGCCTAATCAACGTTCAACCCCCTCCCCAAGGGCTTCTCGGCTTTCAGAATGCCGCGTGAGAGTTTGTAAACTTCTTATCTTGAAGCCGTTTGATAGGGCTTTACTGGTAAATTTTCCGGAAATTCTGGATATGGAGTTAAAAAAAAGGGTTTAATAGGCAGTTCTTCAAAAAACGTAACGTGCACTTGTCATGCTTGTTTTTTGATTGGTTAACCGAAAAAACAGACGATACCTAATTAGGAAAATCTTTGCCGCCAATATTGCTTGGCCCTAAAAATATGAAGCGCACGCCATGTGAACAGCGAAAACTTGTCATACGGAGAAAAAAAATTTTAAACGGAACGAACTGAGACCTTCCTGCTTTGGTAAGCTTCTTGTTGTCGCTGTTGTATCACAGTGCTTTCACCTTTGATATTTCTTATATTAATATTGATTTTAAAAACCCTGGGTAAAGTTTTACGTCTAGCTGCATCAAAAGACCACAAACTCCTGTATTAAAACAGGCCGGGAAAACTTTACAATTATTTTGCCAAGCAAAAATTTGTCAAGTTTCGTTTACAACCTATACATAGGAGCAAAATGTCACGACTTTGCAAGTTTTTCCTAAATTAACCTATTTTTCCGCCTTTGAAATGGTTTACTCCCCCAAGACCTTTAAAATATGAAGAATGCATTTCAAATGTTAATTAACCTCACAAGTCCCAAATGGTTTGCCTAGAGGTGTGTGTGGTAAACAATCCTTGCTGGCTTGATTGCTACATAGACACGTGCAGTAAGAAAACCAATCAGAAATTTTTATTCAAATCAAGACGTTGCTCCGCGCCACATTCAAAAATTGGTAACTTCAGTTGTGAGAGCTGGCGAAGGTTGCTGTCGCGAAGGAGAAATGAGACGCTCTAGTTTGAACTGCCAAGCCGTCATTCTCAGCTTACCAAAGAAAGTTTACTATGAACGAAGCAGTCTGGGATGTTGAAACCACTAAACGCACGAGGTAAATTATACTTGTTAAATTTATCGTCTGTACGGTTGAAATTTGTGTTCCGACGAGTCCAACGTAAAATTAAGTTATATAGTTGTCGAATGTTCTTGTTTTGAACTAATATGTTCTCAGAGGAGAAATAGCGAGTAGAAACGAAGCCAAATGCTCACTCAACAAAATTTATCTCAAGTTTATCATTTTGAAAGCCCTGTGTAGAGTGTAGTTCGTACATGGTTGAACACGTGGCCGTCTAAAATACAAGCGAAGCTTAGTGGAATCTTAGATAACGAAAGCAACCTGGCAAATCATATTTTGCTCTTCATCCAAATTTATATTAGCGAAACAGACAGTAATTCACCATAAAAAATGGCAAATTCATTTTTTCCCGGTATACAACATAACGGTCCGGACATTTGATGAAGTTTAAAATAACCTCGCCGGCAAAATATGGCCACCGTTCCTACTTTAAATGCATGATATCGACCGATAAAAGCTATAACGGAAAGCCTCAAAGTTTGCAGAGGGTTTTTTTGTTTTTGTCTTTTTTCCCAAGGATTTAAACAAACATATATACTCAAAAGAATAAAGAAAAAGTACCTTGCACTTGAACTTAATTCAGTAAAGATAGGAAAATATGCCTTGGCACTTGGTTGTCAACGTTCTTAGATGGGTAATTTCGAACAACTCTTTTTTTAAACTCGCTACTTGAGTTTTCGCTTTCTCGTGTGCAATTACTTTAATCAGGTTTGAATATCTGAATTTTTTTGAGGTCTTGTTCTGTCTTGGATGAGATTGCATGCTCTTGGGCTATTACTTTCAAACAGGGTCGTGTAAAAAACGAACCGTAACTAAATGAGTACCAATCAACAAGATATACATGCAACTTGTAGTTTCAAATGATTCTAAACAGTTACATAAATTGAAAAACTAGAAAATTGACGATTACTAATCGTGACTTTTGAATTGCCATAAAGTTGTGAAATAGTGATCGATCAGTTTTGGCACAAGTAAGATATTGTTCATTATATTTGGCAAGATTTCGGCTAAATTGCCCCGATAAAAACCAACCAACCATTTGCAATCAAAACCTTAATTCCTACCTTGCGCGAATATATTGCGGCCAAGCCTGGATTGAAACCATAGTGATGAACATTGCAGTTTGCGATTCTTTCTACAAATGGAAAAGAGTCGAAAAAATCGTCAGCACAGCCCTGTATTAAATTGATTAAGTCTTTGTAAACCTTTTCAGGAAATGAGAGTTTTCAATTGCAACTGAATTTGATAAATAAAGTATTTCCGTATTTTTTCTTCGTTTCTCTTTCTATAGTTCCCTAAAGCATTTAGAGCCTTTTCACTACTATTTCCTCAGCTTATCATCTTTCTAATTTTCAGCCGTCAGACCAGACCATCTTCCTCAGTCAGACCTCCAGATTAGGCCATGGAACCAGACCGCATCAGCAATCCATAAGATGATCCGCCCCAGATCAGACCACCCCATCAGACAGTCGGATGAGTCTCAGATCTTACCACAGATAAGACTCGAATGCACCAACTCCCACACCAGACCATCGTCAGACCAGACCACCAAAATCAGCCTATCACATCAGACCACTACTGCCACACCAGACCACCAGATCAGATCCACTTCAAATGAGCACAGCACACCCCACCTCGTGAACTGGTACAGGTCAGGTGCATTGTTTGTGGGTTGGGTAAAGGGGGGTATATAGAGCTCTGGATGAACCTTGCAAAGCATACTTTCCACACACGTTCGGCCTCAAGTTTTCGGACATCTTTTTTCGGCTTAACTTAACTGTAGTTAGATTAGTTAGCGGGTTCCCTGGGCTGGTAAGGGCCTTCCCTTCCCTTTTTCTTAAGTTGGGTTCCTTTGCAGGTGTTCGGTCAGCAACATAGGTTCGGCTTTTAGGACTCGGCTCGGCCTCTAGGAAACGATTCGGCCTCGTTTTTTGCGCCTCTTTTGGATGGACTCACCGCCGGTTTTCGTCGTCGTCGTCGTCGTCACTGCAATCTCCCGCTTAGTTGCGCCAAATTCAATTCATAACACTTCACTTGATAGTCATTGCGCTGGGCAAGTGAAGCATTCACTCGCAAGGTTCAACCAGACAGTGATTATTTTAATACGTAACTTAGTAAACTAGAGACGTAAGACCATTTAGCTGCAGTGAGGAGGACCTGATTTGGCCTCCGCTTACAGGCTCAATGGTCTCTCTGGTTACAGGTAGATAGTCAGGTTAGTCTCACAAATTCGAGTCTGATCCTACTTATACCAATTTGACTTTTCATGTTAACCAATATCAAAGCGAAGCGAAACTTTTTAAGTGCGCGTTGATTTTCAGACTTCGAACTTGTGAGGTAAGATCAGTTGACAGGTTTATTCTTACAAAGAAGGTAATTTGCGACCAGGCGTTTCTTCCCGCGAAGAGCCAACACCTTGTTGCAGGTTGCCAGGGCAACATGGGACACTCCACACACCACAGGCTAGATCGTTTACAAATCGTAAGCGTAGGAAGTCTTCGAGACCAATCTACGACGCAGTTTCATCGCTGGAGGAGCACGATCAAGCCGATCGGCCTTTAGGCAACGTTAGTAGCCTGCGAAGTGATTACGAGAATGCTATTTGGCCGAATATTTCAGGGACACACATGTGAAGGCCCACCATACCTTGATATGCGTGTCCCTGAATGGCATTCAGGTGAAAACCTCGCTGGTTATAGACAGTCTTTCAGTAAGTAGCAGGAGAGGATACTCTGGCGTGGCATCGTTGACATTAAGACGATTTAGTTTGTCTTCTGGTTAGTTTTGCCTTGCTGGAGAGTTTTCTTCTTAGGAAGCCCTGCATTGCACAACGCAGGCACAGATCGTCTACAAATGGTAGGCGTACGTAGTCTTCACGTCGACCGTTTGTGGCTTTTGGTTTCCTTGTCCTGATCCGAGACTGGCCTGTAGTGTTCTACCCCTGACAGCTCTTGTACTTCAATACTTCATGGCTAGGAGGAAATCCTAAAGCAGCACGCTGTCTATTTACGTTTTTTTCCTTGAATCTTGTAACAAGAAATATTTGCTTTTAGAAATGTGAATAAAATGCTTTTGATCTTATTTTATGTGATTGAATTGTGCGTCCATTGCTACATCAAGGGAAGAAGCCGGCCGAAGAAAGAAGAACAAAGATTTTCCAGATGTACAGAAAGATAGTCCAGTTAATTAAGTAGGCAAGGTAGCTGCCTTTGCGGCGATGAATTGAGAAGAAGAAATATATAGAACCAAACCAGACAATGAGGATGATGATAAGGATGATGATGACGACGACGACTATGATGATGATGATCCTTTGCACTAAGACGTCATTGTGCTTCTACTAAATTTATTTTATTTGCCGTTGATTTGGGGTCATAATTGAACTGAAGAAATCACGCTAGAATGTAAATTGGCTACAGTTTGCAAACAGAAGCCGATGACATCATAGTGAAAACGACTTCATCATTAGGAAGGCAAGGTAAAGCCAGAGGAGACAGCGTATAGCAATAACTTTAATGAGCTGTCTTAACTAACGTTGATGTCCGTAAGGGCCTATATCCCCCCACCCCAACCTTTTCAACTTTTCATAAACAGTCTTTAGTCACCGTAGTTCTAAAATTAGTTGAATCCCTTGTCCCGCAATTGCCAATGTCGCATAGACCAATGTTAGTTGAGACAGCCTCCAATATGTTATAATTAAAATTTAATTGGCCGGCCGAACTTCACCTTTGGACAACTTCACGTCATCATGGACTTCTACGACTTCTTTTTTTCCGATACCTACGCATTTTTTTGGATTGTGGATCCCAGTCTCCCTGGTCTTTTTGTGAAGGAACATGACGACAGAGTACGGCAGCCCAAATAAGGTAGGGCTGATTTATGTTGGTACAAAGTTTGCGTAAAACTGACTCGTTCAGTCTAAAATAGCAAAATCGGCTCATTGAATTTCTACGGAACACTTTGTTTGTAAGAAACTCAGGTTCGCAGCAAACGTAAACATTGCATCACATCAATCAGCCCAAGTAACAATCCAATGTGGCACAAGGTACGTGGATTTTTTTCATTTTTTAGGCGATTAGATTTTCGGTTCGGTCCATTCGTCTTTTTCCGGTTTTCGATTCGACTTTTGATCTGATTCCGGATTCGGCTTCAAAATATGTGAAGGCTTGGTATGGACAAAGTTTCCATAGCAAGCCGCCAAATATCCCTGCGTACCGTCCGGGGGACCCTGGTGTGTTTCATTCGAGGTGTCGAGGTTTTATGGACGCATGTTACACTCCTCGGTCTTGCTCGGACGTCAAATTCTTAGAAGCGCTTCCCATTTATATAGACTACTTAATTTCTGTAAACAGCCAACTCAATTTAATAAAAACACTTATCTAATGCGTTGTCTGTGTGGTTTTTTCTTTTACTTAAGAGCTAAATCTTTAAAGTAGTTAATTATAAGTACTAATGATGATTTGATTTGCAGGGATATTACAAAATAATTGTTGTAATAATGGCAAATAAATAAAACAAAAATAAAACACTGAGTTGTGAGTGATGTCTTTTAACTACGCACATTTAGTGTCGCATCAGTGTGTTCGCTATGAAAACACAAACAACTAACTCATTTAATTTCAGGTGCTTCGGAAATCAATAACTTATCTTTTTTGGACTCCTCCGCTACACTTTTTTCAAGAGAGAATGGACGCACACTTTTTTGGGCGCGCCCTCTCGAGATCGCACATGGGTTTTTTTCGACCTTTTTACGGCGTTTTGGATGCGTTCTTGAAGAAACGCATAGCACTGTCTATTCGTAAGTCGTACGTGAGGTGCTGAAGGAAGGACAGGAACTTCAATATCAAGTTTAATGTGATTGAATTGTACGTAATTAAAAGTTGATGAAAAATAAAGTTTAACAAACGAACGGTATATCATCAGCTTATTTGTTTTTTTTTTTTTTCAAATTAAACCAGCACTAAAAAATGTAGATAAGTTAGAATATGTTGTAACGGAGTTGCATCTCAGGAAAAAGAAATAAAGTGTGACCAACACAATGCCGCTTCACCATTGTAGTTTTTCTTTAAACCGATAATAAATAATTTAAAAAGTTTTATTTCAGGAACATCGGACGTCGTCTCGTAAATCTTTTTTTTCCTCGAACACGATCACCCTGAAGACGTCTTTTTGGGCGCGCCCTCTGAAGACTGAAGGCATGTGACGTATGCTCTCTAGAAGCTCATTTGGAAGTTTTTTTCTGGCTGCGTTCCTGAAGAAACGCATATGGACGCTGATTACGACTAGAAAACAACTTAAAGCTCGAAAGGTAAGACAGATATCTGTTTATGCTCTAACTGTTAGATTATCTATTTGGGTTTCAGATTTAGTGCTTGAAGTTAGCGTTCGACAGCAGCGTCTCAGAGGCAAGGACGAATGAAACTGAACGTGAGTGCGTTAAATCTGATTGTGCTGATATGCACTTATCCTCGGATAATACTAAAATTTATTCGTTCAAGCCTTAGTGGGATTCAAACCTACGACATTTGCTTATTTAATGGTGCTCCTAGTGTACCAAAGAATGCAATTTTCAAAACTTGAGATCCTACACGATGCTGACAGAATTCGAATCTGTTTGATGATAGCTGACAGTAGCCTAGCAGACAATTCCAAGGTCTTTTAAAGGAAATGGAGTCTGCGATTGGTTTCCAAGTGCGCGACAGAGGCAGTGTTTTGATGTTACTGATTATGTTTTTAAGAAATATTTTATTTAGGTCGAACACTTCCAGCAGTGATGTGACCCATCAGCAGTGATGTGAAGCCTGTAAGTATCAGAATATTGGAAAACTTTCGTCTTCAAGAACCAGTAAACAAGCTTACCCAAACAGGGTCGTTCAAGAAAAAAGTTTTGAAGTCAGTCGTGCTCCTACTACATCAAGAGTCGTAACTTTATAGGTAAATACTATTTTCCAGTGGGATTCCAACCCATGAACATTGCTTCATAAGTAAGCAAATCGATATGAAATGTGAATGAGATTTATTTACCAGAGTGAGAGAAGCTTCATAGTTTAAAGTTCATTTTCAACTGCCATGTTAAAACTGTTGCTTTGATAATCTGTTTTAAGAAGCTTTTTATTCAGGTCTGTGCAATTCCAGAAGTTGCTTCCAACACTCAGTCGTAGCCCGCCCATTGGCATTGAGATTTAAACACGTGACCCTGGCTACCAGATCCGAGGTAAGTACTTGAAACGTACAATAAGTTTACACAAGTATTCTGAAAGGAAATGAAATAAAGCCTTTGATTATTATTTCAAGCCATGACTTCACTCTAATAGTCATCGTATTCGAAGCTCTACAAAGATAATGAAATGTTACGTTTAAATGGAGTACAAATCCAAGTGGTCATATCAGAAACAGCGGTCTGGCTACCGCGTAGATAGACCAAAACTCGAAGGATGAGCATCCAAGGATTAAAAGTTAAATAGTGACATAATTACCTTGTTTAAAAACATGGGAAAACGTTTGCTTGCATTCTTAATCCATGTTCTTGAGAAACTTTGCATTTAGGTCAGAAAATTGCTGATGGAAGTCATGCAGCGAGCGGAAAAGCAGCCCGTAAGTCTCGTCTCTTAAACTACAGTATTACATAGAAAGTGATTTCAACGAACCACCTTGCAGATCACAGGTACGTACAGAAAAGAAATACCAACACGTTCAAACCAACCTTGCCAAAAAAAATGCCAAAAAGTACCAGGAAAGAAAACTGATGATAAAAGAGCTCACTATGCGCATTTACTCAAGTTGTGAACTTACAGAGCATTACCTAAATTGCATATTGTAAAACAGACAGCAAGAGGAGGTTATCCTGGCTACACGTAACTGTTAATTGAATTGCCTGGAGACAAATCGTAACTTTCATTTGAAGGTCCCGATATTGAAACACTCAGTCTTCTCCTCCAACGGATTTCTCATGATCCATGAACTTTGCTCAACTGTGACGTTACATTAAGCAAATACAGGGTGTTAGTGGGATTCAAACCTAGGCCTACTTAACTAAGAAGAGAGAAACATGTAATAGGCTCGGACTTGCTAAATAAGCTGAATGTCTTGTTCTTGAGATCTATTTTATATATAGATCCAGAAGATTTCAGATGTCGCGCCTCGTCAGGCCTGCAGTCAGTGACTCGAAAATTATGTGGAAGGAGCCTGTTTACTTCGACAAAGGCAAGTATAATCTTTCTCCAGTTTACTCATGACTGACTACTCGTATCGGACTGTGCGTCTGACGAGGCACCGTCACGAGTAGTGGGTAAGATAAAGGATTGACACCTATTGCATTGATTGTGATGATTATCTTGCTAATCAGAATAACGATGACGAGAACGACGACGGTTATGGTAATGATGATGTCAAGCAACAACGATAGATGGTGATGCCTGGTAAAGTCATTCTTCAATAGATTAAAACGTACATTGAAACTTGCGTAATTTAGACGACATCCAAATCCACTTATTTCAACCAAATCCCCCATAGAACTGTTATTGACACAACAGCAAAGACAAAAGCCACTTGAGTTCTCCCGATAATTCAGATGGTCGAGGCGTTCTTCTCGGAGGATTTTAAGGCCAGTAGCGATAATATTTGAAATTATAATAAAATGCAACTGGACTAATTGGAATCACGAAATTAAAGAAATGAAGAAGGTCAAAAGAAGAAATAAATGTAGGAAAATGCAGCAAAAATGAATTTAAAATGAAAAATGAATAAAAGAAAAATATATAGATATTTAGTGATAAAATAATAAATACTAAAATATCCTATAATAATGAAACTAAATATAAATTGAAATGAAGAATTTATAGTAGGGATATCAATAATGATCACGATAATGATTATAATAATAGAAAAGGATTTACCGAGCAGCTGCAACAAAAAACACTAGACTGATTTTTGAAACGTAACTAAGCAGTCACGTTTCAAAAATCCAGCTAGAAGTATTAACGTTTTCCCTTTCCTATTACAATCATTATATACGATCATTATTAGTATTATTTATAATTTATTTTATTAACTCTATTTATTAACTGTTATTTTAAAATTATTTTTTGTTACACTCTTTAAATTTATTTATTTATCATTTACTATTATTTTAAAGTAAGTTCATTTTTGTTGCATTCTTTAAATTTATTTACTTTTTTGACCTTTTTTTCCCTTTGTTCTTTTGCGCGCAAGTCATTATTTGCCAGATTTATCCCTATTGACCTGTATTAGTTTTAAGTTTGAAACCACTGTACCAAATTTCCAACTGTGCTACTTTCATACTATATAAGCACGACCTGACTATCGGAAATATCGGGAAACGCAATGTAGCTTTTGTCTTTGTTGTTTGGTTATTATAGCTGACTAAACACAAGGAGCCAATGAAGGAGTCGGGGGAGGGCTACTAAGCTTAGATAATAAGTTCAGTTAAGCGTGTGATCTTGACTTTGTCTTGAGTGATTTAGCTGCAGTGAACGTCGGCAAGCTAAGCAGCCTGGTCTGGCATCGCGATGTGAAGAGGCCTTGACGAGTGATGCCTGTTACATTGATGATGATGATGATGATGATGATGATGATGATGATGATGATGATGTTGACTTATGCTGACAATGATGAAGACACGATGATGAAGATGAAGATGATGACAACGACTGCTGAAGATGCTGACGATGGTGTTGATGACGATGACGCTGACGATGATGATGATGATGAGGATGATGACAAGGCGGATGCTGAAGATTATCTTGATGACGCTGACGATAATGCTGACGATGATGATGACGATGATGATGATGATGATGATGATGATGATGATGATGATGTGCAATGACGGATGCTGACGATTTTGTTGATGACGCTAACAATGACGATGATGATGATGATGATGCTAATGTTCTTGTACTCAGATGAAGAGAACCACAGCTCCGTAAATGGCCATGGCGTCTTCACCTGGTAAGCACCTTTCTCCTTCTTCAATTAGTGACTCGATCTCCAGTCGCCTCTCTTCTCTCGCTTAAATATCAACTAAGGAGGTGCGTGGAAAATGCTCCTCGCTCACATGCTGTAATAGTCTCACGTGACCATTCCCTGACCAAAAGAGTCGAAAGCGGAAGGCTGAGAACGAGTCAGCTTCATAAGAGCAACGGCAAAGACCCATAACTGAAACGAGAAGTGTCAGGGAAAACAAGCTTTAAAACGAGAGGAGTCGTAAGCTTTCCGTGCTTTACTTATTGAAGCTGTAAACTGCAAAGGAAGAACAGAAAACGCTTTCTCGAATAAGATATCATGGGTTTCAAACTCCATAAAATGGATCAATTTTGTTCAATTCAGTTGCATTCAAAACAAAATAGAAGTGGGAATAGACATTGAACGCACCTGCCCCTATGATAAATTTAAGGCTGTAAAAAAATACACAACGAAAATACTCTGCAGCTATAGTAAAATAAACATGGGAGATTCTTGTTTAAAATTTAAAAAAGGTGATTCCAAACTGTTTCGTCCCAACAGCACCCATGAAGAAAAGAGTGCAATTCAAGAGTCCTTATATATCAGTCATATTGGAGGGAGAGCGTGGATGTACTTGCACTACTCTGGCTACCATCCTACGTGGAGGAGAAAAGATGAACTTTAAACTACGATAGACTCTAGAGTATTTAAGTAAGGCCCAGGTTTAAACAGACTGCTTTTCGCACTGCTCTCCCTTGTAGTTTCGCCAGCAAACGCTGATCGTTAAGTTGAAGAAAACGGATTCAGTCAATTCTATAAGGTTTAATCTCAACAATTTTTTCTTCTTCTAAGCTTTTATCCCATATATTTTACTTTGTAAACCGGCAACCTGTTCAAAACAGCAGGAAGTTTGAACTTGGGCCTATGTTATGAGAAAGAAGTAGTATTATTATTTTCGGCAGATGAATCATAACGGTTTAACGCGCGGTCTGTACAAACTGAACTCTTTCAAAGCATTTATGAAAATAAAGAAATTGTGATTCAGTGTTGCCTCAGAGTTAGTTGAACAAACCCTATATGGTGTCACCATGGAAATAAGAATTTTTCAGTACTACTCCCTCGTAGTGACAATCATTTGGTATTCTTAAAAAGCTGTTAGACCAAAAGGAATAATAAAAATCCGTAGTATTCTTTTTCTAATCAGGTTTCGTGCTAGATGGATATGGAAAAAGGTCAGTAAATGCGAGGACCATGATGTAAAGTGAGAAAGCTATTTTACAACTGGCAAGATATTTTAGAAGAGATGTAGAATTTATCAATTCGGCTGAGAAAGTAAAAGCGTGACTTGGAACTTCTGAATTCTTCTTAATTAATGCCACTGACTTCGCTGATTTCATAGCTTAACATGTAACATAAACAGCAATAACCTTATAATGCATGAAGATTTTTAGAGGTTCCAAGGAACTGTTTTGCCTTTATCGGAATTTGGCAGAAGAAAAAAATTAAAAAGGTTATAGTGGCCATCTGCCGAGTGAAGGCACGGAATCATAGCTTTCAAACCTTTACATTGGTTCAATAAACATAATTCAGTTCTGCAGGCACAAAAACAGAGATTCAGGTTAATTCGCTCGTAAAGTGCTTTGATATCATTGCTTACGCACTTTGAAACGGCGACAGTCGTTCTATTCTGGGGTCAACCGAGCCTTGCCGACTCGACAACTCAGCGAGCAAACGATTTTTTCTTTTCTTTTAGCCTAGCTAAGCTAAGAGGTCACTTCTACTTACTTATTTCATTTACTACTTTACTTATTTAATTTATATAAGCTATCAGGCCTTAAAACCCCAAAGGCATCACCATAGCACTGGTTGGGGGTACACGGTCCCTATTTTTCCAAAATTGGTTTTTCGGGGTTTACGTGTCCGGCTGTGGTGTTTTTATGTTGATTTTTTTTTATGATACATGTACTGTCTTAACGTATTACTTACCAATAAATTGTACTGTCTTGGACTTCATAAATTGCGTGCTGGTTTCATTGGTTGATCATATGAGTGGGGGCGCAAAATGTTTTTCAACAAGAACATGATCACGCCCTTGTCGTAGGGGAACTTGAATTAATAAACTCCTGTTTCCTTTTTGCTTTACGAAAGGTTTCAGCGACTTGTTTGCCGCGCAAATGCTGTAGCTCAGTTTGCCTTGATTTAAATCTGTTCACACAGTGCAAATAATCTGTTAATTTCTGAAAAACACACAAGATAAGCTGTTGTCGTCCCCTCAGAATGCAAAGCTTTTAAATTAAGGACCAGGAGATTATCATTAATTGTTTGAGTGCGAGAAAATTAGTTAAAACAAACTTTCTTATAAATTCATGATGATCGTTGGAAACGCATTACTAAATTTGATTAACTTCAACTCTCTCTTTGAAATAGCCATACGTTCATCCACAATATAGACTATTTATCGAATAAGTATAGTCTTCAGCATCATTTGTATAGATACTAGCCAGGCTTTGTTAAGAAGCGGAGCGATCGAAGCAGAGCGGAATTTGACCATCGTCTTCTAGTTTCAGATTTTTAAAAACAGAACAAGGTGGCTATTATGTAACTTCGTTAACTTCTTATTACAAGCTTAGAGTCTATAAGAGTCTGTGAATGACAGTAAGAACACCCTTATAAACAAAATAAGGAGCCACTGAGACTTTGCTTTTTTATCAGGCTGTTACAGAGGGTGGTTCTAACTTTCGAGTCTAGGGATAAGTCAGCCTAAATTAAGGTCTGTTTACATGGAGGTGGAGGACCCTAGGTCGGGTAAGATCCTTTATTAGTATCCGGTCCTTCCTTTTTGTAAGCTGTTCCTAGCTTCAAAAATTGAATTTAGGTAGGTGAGGTAACCCGCCTGCCCATATAAACTCTCATTTTAATTTGATCACGTTTACATGATAGGTTGGGTGACCCTCCAAGGCGGGTAGCCCGGTCTGCCAGACCAGGTAACCTTCTCACCCGGGGTCAAATTTTGCTGTGTAAACGTTCAAGGTGGGGTAACCCGCCCAGCCGGGGTCCGATTCGTGATAAATCAAATTCGCGCAAAATTCGTTTTGGTGGTGGCTTTGCATTATTATTAAAGGCCTGTTTACAAGGAGAGAGGGTTACCCCTGTGAAATGGTTACCCTGATGCGGGTTAACTTTACCAGCTTTACTGACGTGTTTCGTCATGCGCGACATGTTTTGTAACGGTCCAAAATTTAGAATAATCTTGAGGTTCTCTATGGACAACACGTTGAATTCACGAAAAAAGGGAAATGGTATCATCGTAGACAGAAAATAACTTTTTATTTTTCATATGTTTATAATCAAGCTCAGAAATTGGATGATAGCGTTTAAATTTGCACAAATACTGGTCACGCGTGAAGGAGGAAAGTTGACCCGGGTAGGCGAGTTATCCCTAGCAGAGCATTTGCAGGGCAGGTAGGGTAACCCCCTTGCTAGGGTAACCCTAGCACTCGGGGAGGGCTACCCTAGCGTTAGGGTAACTGCACGTACCACCACCTGCCTTGTAAACGCGTGAAAAGGTAGCGCTCTTGTTAGGGTAACCCTAGCACCGGGGTTACCCTCCCTCCTTGTAAACACGGCCAAAAGCCACAACACTAAAGGTTGCAGCAAGAGCAGCAAGTGAGTGCAGAAGAGCATTATTCGTCAAAACACGTGGTTTGACAACATTTTTCTTGATTTTAGGGGGATCACTTGATTTTTGGAGAACAAAAGGCGGGATCACGGGAAGACATCGGAGGAGGGGCGGGGATCGGGAAAGTTATCACAAGTTATTAGGGGGATCACCTCAGTGAAGTAACATTCAAAGGGAGGATCGGCTAAATTTTACCTTGTTTAGCATCAAATCCTCCCACCCACGGGTGATAAATAACCACCGGACCCTTAACTCTTGACGACGGGCCGGAGTGGGGATGTGCCCGCAATTTCATATCAAAGCTAATAAAAACAGAATTATAATTTCATTTTTTATTTCTGAGCTTACACTTCTTTAAAAATGTCAGTAAAGCTGTATAACTTCGCCCCAGTCCTTTTCTGCCCATTGGCCGTTTTCTCGCACATTAGGCGGGCTTTCTTTCCAGTTCCATTCCTTGATTGGTATATGCCAATCTTTTCCGTAGTTCGCAAGGACATAAGCCTCAGTTTCGCACGGTACACGTGCTTTCAAGCCAAAAAGCTCAGTCCAGCAGAGGGTGAATATTGGAAAAATGTACCTTAAGGAAAAAATAACAAAAACACAAGTAAACAAGCAAACAAAAAAACAAACAAAAAAAGATACTTGTTTATGAATGTTAACAGCCTTAATCTTAAGCTACGTGCAAAATGGACGCAACAACTTCCAACATTGTTGGGACACGAAGTGCATGGTGGAAAGGATAAAACAAATAAGACTTTGTAAACTCCAAGGAGACCATGTGTAATGCGCGTGCGTGGCCCCAACAATGCTGGAAGAGCTGTGCATATGAATCCAGCATTGTTGCGCTACGCTTTGGCGTATATCTACACAAAAAGCCAAATAGAAAACGAGTTGTGACTGAGAAATGGCTTGCTCCTAAAAGTTAATAGGCCAAATCACCGTTGATAAAATCAAAGTTCTGTTCATGCAAACAGAACTGGCGGGTGAAATTATAACGTTAACATTTGACGTAGCAGTTTTTGTAATGCTGCGCGCCACTAATACACTTTTGGCGCTGTTGCTAAGATCAATCACGTGATCATGGACGAACCACTCGCGTCGAGCTGGGTTAACCCTTCAGCTGAATGACAAACAATAGAACGATTTAGGCCATGTTTACAGCATACTGGATAGCTTTTGCGCCACCATACCGCATGGGGCTTCTGTACATACACAAAAATGGTGATTTTGGCGCGATTTCTGTGACGGCGGATAGAAGCTGCGCCGCTGCGATCTTTAAAGTGGAGAGCCACATATCGGATCGGTGTTCATACTATACATGGTTTTCACAGTGACGTCATGAAATTGTAAAGTCAAAATAGCGAGGTTTTACGAGTTTTTAATTACAGTAGGTTGAAGATAAACAAAAAGTAAATCTTTGTACCAGTTTCTATTTTCGTAGCATGTTTCATTTCGAAAATACAGCGATTTGAACTTCCGAGTTTTCACAGTGCGTGACATCAAAATATGGATGCTGTCTCGTTGAAAAAAGGCCTCTCCTCTTGATTTTTAGCAGTATAACCATTAGAAGATATGTTTATGCGCACGTATGCTAGTTCTCGAGTGAAAAGAAAGAGCTTTTGTAGAAAAAGTGAACTCCAGATGTTTTTGTTGATTTCCGGCGGCCATATTGGTGGACCAAAACTGTGCACCAATATGGCGTCTCCATACAAAGCTCTACAAAGGAGCGTGAAACGTTTCGGCAAATAACTCAGAAACTGTAGGCCACAAAGACCTGAAACCTGGATAAATTGTTTATAATTATATTAGTCTGTTATAACATTTCATTTTCGTGGTTTCTCCCACTGGACGGTTTCCAATTTACTTTTTCGTTGCGAGACAGTGAAAACGATCTATATCGGAGAGCTTTTAGGGGCGTCACGAAAAGCCATCCGGTACTGTATGCACATAGCTTTAGAATCACGTTTACGTCATGTGTTGAAAAAGTTTCCCCAAACTCGTCGTTTTGTCTTCGTTATACCACACAAAAATAAGTACATGTAGCTTCATGTTAGTCGCATCGATAAGAATTATTTTGGACAGATTATACCCGTTCATTTTCTAATCTGAGAAACTGTCAACTTGAATCTAACGTTAGCCGTTTGCCGTAAACGTAATTCTAAATCTCTCTGATGACTAACTATGTTATTACTTTAATCTTACTTGAACTTCTTTCCTGTTCTTGCTTGTGTTCCACCATTCCACATATAATCCTTTTCTTCGTAGAAGAAGAAAATGTCCAGCTTGACGTAATCCTCGACAGTTCTAAACGACAACTCAAAGCTATCTTCAATCTAGGTAAAAAGGAAACAGTTTGTATTCAGAAAAAAACAAAAACAAAAACAAAAACGTAACGGCAAAACATGTTCCTTCGGTTTAGTTAAAAAATTCAGTCTCCCTTTTTACTTTTGCCCAACGCACAAGTGTTTCCCAAGGGTTAAGGAAGCAGTAGCTTTCTCATTGCTCGTGCGGCTAGCCTGCGTAACCGACGGGATCAACGGGATCGTTATTTAGCGCGAACAAAGTTTTGTTAGAGGAACTGCGAAGCCGTGCTGAGAATGGGGAGGGGACGCTTCGGCGCTCGCTTATCGCGCGCGGCAAGGCAATGGTAAAAAGACAATTCCGCCAAGTAGACCGGCTATCGTGCCGCTTTTGTTTCAACCAATCAGAAGCTCAAGCGAGATTTTGGTAGTGACACGTCATCAGTATTTCTCAGACGTCATTTCGCGATGAAACCAGTGACCTTTGGCTGTTTTTCAGGCTATACAATCTTTGAAAAAAAAAATGGTCAGTTTCTAGTTTCAATAAACAAAGCTTTTATCCCTTGACAGTGGTAAATTAAAAGAAAGAGTCAGGCACAACCTCCCAACTTACGCGACCAAACTTGTGTTTTAAAAGCAGCCCACTCTTTTTAAACTCGGAAATAAGCAGTGGGTTGTAGTCCTTGATCCATATACCAATGTCAACGTCTTTACTGTGAGGAATAATATCACATTGCCTGAACCAACCTGAAAGGAAGTGCGAAGGAAATTAGAGTTTATTGAAATGTTTAGCGAAACCGCGTTTTGAACCATTTTCAATCAGACCAACCTTTATATCTAAAGACTGAACAGTTTTAAAAAGTATATGGCGTAGACTAAAAAGAGCATTTTATCTTCTATTGTATACGTAGCCATTCTAAATTCGAGGGTAAATGAAATATATGTATGCACGCATGTATGTATGAAACAGAACTACAGGTCTAATGACTGTCGTAATTAGACTTCGTTTCAATAACTACTAAGCTAGTTTAGTTTTTGCTATTCACGGTAGTTATTTGCCTGATGTACTTCAATTTATTTAGTTCTTGTAAAAAATTTTTAAGTTTGTAAATAAAATGGTTGGTTGTTGTTGTTTCAATCAACGATCTTCAATCTTTAACCAAATCAGCAAAGGTCGACAAGTTATGTCTGCCGTCTTCCCCTTATGATGGTTATTTGGAACAAACGCGACGTCTGGAATGATTTTAATGTGGGCGGGGGTGGGGGGATGGTGACCTAGATGATTTCAATCAAAACATAACAGGTAATATTTCCAAACTGAAATAAAAGAACTACTTACCGCTAAGAAAAACGAACTAACAACAATAACAAGAAATCGCCTTCAATCCAAACGTTTCTTACCTAAACAAGTTCCGCTACTAAGCCAATATCTTACACCAAGTCGATTCAGTGACTTAATGGCTATAGATAGCACTTCTAAAGCTTTACTTTTAAATAGCACTGCGTCTGGCGACACGTCTCTGCCATATTTACTGTAATAATGTCGAGCATTTGTGAGGTTACATCCTTTGAAACGTGACTGCTTTTGCTGTGAAGCTAGTTTGTCGGGATCCGAAGGGAGATTCAGGCGAATTCCATCGACAATCGCTTCCTTTATTGAGAACCTGCAAAAGAAAAACGTGAACAGCCAACGATGAAACTTTGATGAAGAAATGAAGCATAGTGGGAATAAGGCCATAAAGATTATCATCATCATTTGGTAGTAAATGTTGATGGGGTAGTGTCACATTATGAAGCTACATGTACACTTGACGAATATCAAATAGGAGAATTAAATCATGACCTTTTCGCAACTTTGCAATAGCCCCCAAAGCTACGGCAAACATTTTTTCAGTCTTGGCGACTGGAAATACGTCCCCTGTTTACAGGCTAACTTGCCAAATACAGTTGCGGAATTTTTTTGGCATTAAGGTACTCACTTAAGAGAGCACTGCCCTTGAATAAGCGCACATTGAGGAACAGAGATTTTCTTGATGAGCACGTACCGTCCACAAAACCACTGCGGCATTCAATAATCTTTGTTTTTGACATTTTTTATGTGATTATTGCTGCTGTTATTGTTATAAAAAAAGGATTTTGAAAGGGACACACGCTTGGGAGAAATATTTATTTGACACAAACCTGTAAATTTTGTCATTCACAAGTAATTTCTCAAGTTTCATGGTGCATATGTGCAGCAATGTTGACAAAAAAACAAAAAACAAAAAGCAAACTAGCCAGTCATGAAACAGCCCCTAAAAAAATTGTAAATTGTAATTTGTTTACCCACAGAGCACTTAGGAGTTCTTAAGAACCTGCTGAAACGTGTCTGTGCGTTCCAGATCGAATTGGAAGTGTTGGTTTTTAAGGAAAGGGGAAAACTGGAGTCAACTCGGGGAAAAACCTCCCAGGGCAAGGAAGGGAACCTACAACAAACTCAACCCATATATGGCATTGATGCCATGATTCGAACCCAGGCCAAATTGCTGGGAGGCAAGTGCACTCCCCACTGCGCCACCTAACAAACTTGTTTCAGCAGTATGCAGATTCTTATTATATCAATAAGCTGACCTGTTGAATGCTCCAGAATCTTTATCAGCAATCGTCAGTGCATTATAACCCTGAAGTGTTCCATGCCACAGATATGAATCCCTGTCATAAAATACCAGCAGCTCCACAGTAATGCCACCTTGTGATATCGTGCATGATGAAATGACGATATTTATATTCATGAAGTCTTTACTTGAGTCAAACCATGGCTCTTCAACATTGTGGCAGACAGTTGTGAAACCTTGTTTGCTAAGGTGAGAAATTAACTGGGGCTAAAATGATAAAAAAAAAACAAAACAAAACAAAAACAAACAAAAAAACAATCATTATGGTATTCTTGCTACTGTCAGATTATTGGTACTTTCTGGAAGATTTTAATAGTGTCAAGTTATTTTGTCCAGTGGAATATGAAAAAGGGGAAGGCATTTGTGAAAAGGGCAAGAAAAGTGTTGCCTAGGTTTGCATGGTTACTTATTTGTTGGAGGTGATGACAATATACATGCATGACTGCACATGCTTGAATGGAATGGGACAGCAAAGAGGAAATTAAAGCAGGAAAAGAGGGTGTTGGTGACAGAAATGAATTTCACCAAGAAGTGCTAATACTCAATTAAATAAATCTCAGAATAATCTTGAAATATTGTGCACTGCATTGGTGGGCCCAGATGTTGATCGAAACAAAGGGGATGGCTGGGTGAGGAAAGGTTGGTGGGTGGGAAGGTCCTGTAAATAATTGCTGTGTCAGTGTCTTGGTTCTGTGGAACTTGGCTTTTGGTCCAGTTAATTATGATAGGGGACCTGTGATCACTAGCCCCTCCCTTAGCTAGAGCTGCCACCGCGTTTTAAAATAGTATCAAGACAGTCATACGTGAAGTTGCAACCTACAAACAACCTTGTCAGACAAAAGAAGCTATCAATTCCATCTAATTTATGTTTTTTATCATGACTATCATCATTATCATCATCAACAACTATACTTACTATTAATGAAGATATTGGAAATTTTTCTCCTTTCTGCCAGGCTGAACGTATTACACCAAAAACAAAGTACTGACAGTCACAAAGCAGTTCACATTGGTCATTTTCTAGATTTTGAAATTTACTTGAGTTCTTCCCTGGAAAAGATACAGGTAAAGGATGAAACAGAAATGTTGGAATCCCATGCTGCTTGGTCACTTCTGTAAAAGTCTTCAAATGTTTCTGTAAAACAAGAATAACTATGGCAAATGAGGAAAAAAACGAAAAGAAAGAAAAAAAAACAACAACAACTTATTACACATGATTTGTGATGCATTATAGAATAAGATTTTATGTATGAAGGCTCAATAAGGAATTTTTGGAAACCTTACACAATAAATGGGGTGAGTGCCTAAAAAATATTTTACCCATCGCAAGTTTAGAGAATTATGAGGGATGTCATACCTAACCCGATTTAAAGGGTGGCGAGGAGGGAAGGAAAGGAGGTACTCCCATATACAAACTGTATCATCCCTTGGTTAACAGATAGGTCATTTGTTTGTCTTGACTTGTGATTTTCCAGGTACTGCTTTTAATCTATTTTCTACAGTTATTTTCTGTATACAGGAAAGGGAATCTTGATGCATTAATAGTCAAAAGTAGCAATGCAAAATACAGCTTCAAACTCTGCTTAAGCTATTACAAATTAATTTACTTATTAAAATTCTACAGAATTACAGTCTGAATCAATTCAAAACCACAGGGCGCCCACACATATCCATGTGTAGCGGATTGTTATTTTATAGTAAATGTACCAGATTTACCGTTTGCTTCACCTATAGCGATATATCGCTAAGTATCTATATAAATAAAATGGTTAAACAGTAACTAATTTAAAGCAGACTTGGGAAAAGATTCTTGTTTAACGACAACTAATCAAAAAGAGGCAATCAGTGGGACGATTTCTCACAGGCACGTACGAATCTTGCTATGCATTTTGACCATCCAAAACCTGTGGCATTTTAATTTTCTTTGAGGGCAAGCTCCGGGACTGTTGGATGGATTTTCGATCGGAAGGTATGAGGAGAAGCGTGAACCTTTTGACCTTTTTGCTGTGAAGTTTGAAAACAGAGTGATGCGATTTTCCGGGGAAAAATCACTCTGGCGCTGGCGACCTTTCAAAACAAGCTCTCCTTCCTTGTCCTTCTTAACTCAACATCCTTCGCAATCGCTCAAACACCCGCTTTTGAGGCAAAAGGACAACAACCTACAGGGTTCTCAATAGAATGTGGCAACCGGCGATTGATCACCGCTTACTTTGGGATTTATAGCCGCTTACTTTGTGTTTAAGTCGCTTTTCTTTCCTTTGTTTTGACACCTCTGGCTTTGCTGAAGAGCCTCCTACTTTATCAGTGATCACCTCCTATTTAAAAATCTATTGAGAACCCTGAACATATCGCAGCTAAGGTAATTCAACGTTTATTTAACATTGAGTTATATACATACTTAGCGATATATCACTATAGATGAAGCAAGCGGTAAATCCAGTACATTTACAATAACATAACTATCGCCTACACACACAGATTGTGTGGGCTCCCTGTGTTCAAAACATACCAGCACAAGATTCCTTTGGTGTTGGAATGGAAGTAAGCCTCGCAGACTTTCTAAAACTCTGAACCTAGATATCACCTGTTTGGAGGTATTCATATTGCAGATCAATAAATTCTGAGTATCAGTAACTGAACGTTAATACCGCTGAAGTAGTACGTAAGGCGCGCCAAGACTAAAAAGAGCTATTTCACTCACCGTGTTATCAATTACTTTCAAAGATAAAAGCTGTAGAAACAGAAAGGTAATAGAAATCATTAAAAGCAAAACTAGGATAATCCATCGTCGCATAAATATGCTTTGTTTCATGGCTGATCCACGATTTTTCGCATTTTGGCCTTCCTCGCTCCATCGTCCGCCATGTTTATCAGCTTCAGTTCTCTTCCGCTTTATTGGCCCGCGGCAAACTGGGCACAAGTCAAGCAAGAAAAATGGCGGACGGATCAACAACAGGATGAAGAGAACTTTGATTGGAGTTTTTCTCTTGGTGCTTTTGTTTCTTTAGGTCTCTTACGTTAGAAACATGCTACAGATTGGAAACAAGGTGAAGCATGCGATTTATATCTGTAAATCTGGATAAACTTGAATTTTGTGACTTTTATATTGTGGGGCAGGTTCGATCTGGTTGTGGTCTGTAACAATTTATTTACTGAGATGAAGATAATGGCAGAACAGATAGATAAAATATTCTTCCAGAACTGCAAAGAGAATATTGTATTTCTTTCGTTTCCAAACTCTGTAGGCTGGAACAATGGAAAAAAGACAGAGGGCTAGTCAGCAGCATTTTTCTGTTGATTTGTTGGAATTTTTTGATGTAAATGATGCTTTGGATGTTACTTGGGCTCATGCAGTAAACAGCCAGTCCCACCTTCAGACAGCATTATCTACAGAGGTGATTGTAATACATATATTTGCATACCTTACAAATAGATTTTATATTCCCATACGTCTGTTGATGCCCTGCTAGGTATTAGGGGATTTTCTCACGTATGATGCATGGGGTGAGGGAAGGGGATGAGATGCTTCAGGGTTGGCCAAAGGAGGACATGTCTTTGGCTGAAGGCTGAAGCCACAGGTGTTAAGATACCTAGGGTGGTTTCTTCAGTAATATTTGATCAAAGATGATGTCAAAATGTGGTAAGAACATAAAAAAAGGCACACAAGTCACAGGAGTGTGTCGATGATGTTCTCAACACCTTTTGAAGCCTTCTGTGATCTATCACTGAACAGACACAAGGCAAGATGGAATATATTCATTTTATACAATGGAAAAAAAAGAACATGGACAAACTTGCCTTGTAGTGCTTGATCATTAGAGTATTTTTGCCAGGTTAGCCATTTTCCACATGACAAACACTCAGTTTCATCTCAGCTTCTTTTCTGTCTGTGCAAAAAGTTTATAAATAAATTCCTGAATTGAAATTTTATCGGCCAATTATTGTTCTTGTGGATCCATAAACAAAATTCGGTGAACTAAAAAACTTCCTCAGAGTTGATCTTATCATTTAGCGGACACATTTCTACTCTCCTAACAGCCGCACGAATGCCAAAATTCGACGCCGTGTACACAGAAAAACTGGAAATTTTTTACCTTCCCACATTGATTTTTTGTTCATTTTTTTTACAGTCTATCGGAAAGTGGAAGAGAAAGTCGTCTACCCCCAAAAAATGGGTTGCCACCTACCATTGAAGAAAGTAAATTGCAAGCGAAGTTAACGCAACGGCTACCAGCCCTATATGCCCTTAAACAGTTTTCACAGCGCTCGTGCTCGATGCATGACGTGGCATGATATTGCGCTATGAATTACGTGCGCAGTAGGGATGCGCAGAAACAATTAGCGCGAACGTCCTTAAGTGAGAAGTAAGTGTTAATGTTGACTTAGGGGAGTGGTATGTGGGCAGTTTCACAGAAACCTAAATTGGTTCCTTTTCTTTAGGTTATGATGTTAGAGGCGGATGTATCCCAGCAGGCTGATGGAACTCCCATCATGGCGCATCCACCAAGTACAGACAGTGATCTCTCACTTGTGCAGTTTCTTAAAGGGGCTCTCAACTCACGCAAAGGTATCAAACTGGATTTCAAATCCACAGATGTTCTTGAACCCTCACTGAAAATTCTTCTAGAACAAACCTCACAACAAGAAGCCGTTAATCCAATATGGTTGAATGCAGATATCTTGCCTGGCCCTTGCAAAAGTGATTGTAGTCCTGTCAATCCAGGGGTGTTCTTTTCACTTTGTACCAAGTATTTTCCATCAGCTACTCTCTCTGTTGGCTGGACCACTCATTTGTTTATTTCTGTTGAAAATGACTATTATGAATGGCGTTTTGTTCAGCCAATGAAAGACTTGCTCTCCAGTGTCACTCAGCCAGTCACTTTCCCAGTTAGAGCTAATATGATTGGCAAGTCAATGGAACAGATGATCTGGCTTTTGAGTCTTTCCAGTAACTACAGCCTAACAGTGTGGTCAGCATTTTTCGATAAGCCCAATATTAAGGACTTAGTTGTTCTACAAAATAAAGTGTCCAATAGCAAAAAGATCTTTTATGATCTCCCTTCAGATCAGAAAGCCAAATTTATGGAAGAACTAAAGGTAAAGAAGACACTATAAAGTTCACAACGGTTTCGCTGCTTGTCACGTTGGCTACGTTCGAGTTCGCTGCCTACATATTTGTCTTGCTGGCTATTGGCGAAGGCCGAAACTTGCACCCTTGGAGGGCAAACTAAAAAGAGCGAGAAATATATTAAAATATTTTTTCCTAGAGCGACTAAGGGAATATTTTCAGTGGTTTACAGAAAGTAATATGCAGCGAATTTGTTGCAAACTAAGACGTAGCGAATTCGACAAGGAGCGAAATCGGTTGTTACCAAACGGAACACCCATTCTTGTGGATGAGTGGAGTATACAAAACCACATTGAGGAATATCTTGCTTCCTAACCTGATTAGCTCAACAAAATGTAAAGAGCAAATAAGAACAAGATATTTCGATTAACTCAAAACCAGTGAGCCTCATGGTTTTGAGAAAAGAATAGAAAGCGTATCGTTTTTAACCTAAACGGTTTTTAGGCTTAAGAAAGCTCAAAAAGCTCAAAGTATTTTAAAAGGAACTGCGTATGAACTTGATCTGGATTATCAGGTCGGAAACCATGACTCTAAGGGTCATAAGTTCTGGGAATAATAATAATATTAAATGTTTATTCTTCAACAAACTATGGGGACAAATCGATCACGAATTAAAAATTGATCACGAAGGAGTTAGCCCTTCGAAAGACAAAAGGACTGACCCGGCGGCTGCTTGTAGAAGTGATATGGGCAAATTTGCGCCCATCGCTCAAAAATATACTTGTCTTAAAAAAAGAAATCCTTATGTAGCTTATCACGGTGCAGAATTTGTGATTATGATGTCGTCAAAAGGTCAGACAGGAAAAGCAAATATTCCCTAAGAACTTCATGAGCCACTCCTGTTGCACCTCGGCAAGAAGTACTAAGACCTCGGTGGGATTCGAACGCGCGACCTCCAGATTAAATCTACGAGTGCTTGTATCTTCGAAGGTGAAAATATTTTCTTCTTTACTTCATGTGGTCCCCTAATTCCCTTTGCTAGGGCTACCACTAGAGTTTAAAGATACTCTTGTATACCGACTGTGTAAGGAATGAATCCTTATACAATTTTGTGAAATCCAAACATTTTTATTAGCTTACCCTAAAGTTTAATGCCCCGTAACGGTATGTGCCACCCACTGCACCCGTTTACACCGTGTCCTGTTTTCGTATGTCCTGTGTAACAAACTGTATACCGCTCATTTCATGATGTGATTCACTGTCTTCCCAAACATTACATCGCATTATGGCAGTTGCCCTCCAGCTAAATGGAGACTCTGAGGTTTTCTTTCCAAAGGTCTTCAATTAGTAAACTCTTTATTTAAATTGACAGAATTCTAGTCGTATCTGTTTTTCGTTGGCGCACGAAAAAATATTGTTTAAAATAATCTGGCATGCTGTGACCCAGGCATTTCTGTTAGGGGGTGAACGCTCTGTTTATAACTTTATCGAATTTGCTAACCAGATACAATTATTATAATTACAGTCATTATTATTTAATCATTGTCTTCATATTCTGGAGTGGCTGACCATTAACGAGGTGCTCCTATTAAGCGGGTTGAATTTAGAGAAAATGTAAGGGCTTTCTTTCCCCAGGGACAAAACAAACTGTCCGTGATAATGAGGTGTCCGTAGGGCGGGGATTTGACTGTAGCTTGTTTTCATAGTTTGGGATGGCATCGCGTCCTTTCTACAAATATAGCGTAGTTGCTGCCACTGCCCACAAAACAGACAGAAACGTATGAAAATAATGGGGCCCTTTTCCGCTCCCAGAAGTCTCACTAGCTGCCAACCGAATCTGGACCTTCTGCACCAGGACCGCTCCTGATTGTACTCCAGTACTGATCAACAGATGACCTGCCATTGGCTCGCTCTCTGTTTCCAAGGAAACGAATGCTTCTTCCTTCTTGCTGTCTTGCGCAGTGATCCAACACTTGAATGTTCTGCGTTTACCATCAGGTGAACTCTCCGTGATCAAGAATTTGAACATATTAGTGTCGCTTTTAACGGATCCTTGTTTGGTATCACCGCCATTTATCGAAAACTGAAAGTCACCATTGTTGTCCAGAACCAGCGTTACAAACTTGCCATCACCCGAAGAACTTGCCTTTCCTACGTTTGTTACCGTCCCTGTGGCGTTTTCAACGTGAACTTGTATTGTAACAGTCCTCTTGTCATTTGGCGCATCAGTCTTGACAAATGAACAAATGCCGTTTACGAATAGGTAATAATAGGCAGTGATCTTATAAAGAATCTTGTCCGATATCACCAAACCACCCTCTCCCGAAAACATCACGCTGTTACGACCAACAAGAACATCTTCACATTCCTTTCTCGCTATGGCTCTCCACCAGACGCTGTTTACGGAATTTGAGATGTATTTAGTCCCAGGGGATTTTAAAGCTGCTTTGAACGCCTTCTCTTGGCTTGGTGGAAGATCGTAAAAGACTCTTCTTTTGTCCAAAACACTCCCTCTAAGTCTAACGAGGTCTTGGACGTCTACCTTGTCAGAGACTGAGGACCAAATAGTTATGGTGAAGGTTTCTGATAAGTCAAGCAACCAATGAATCTGTTCCCAGGAGCGTTTTACCAAAACCGCACGGATGGGAAATGTTATGGGCCGAGAAATTTGCGACACAAGCTTCCCCATCGAAATAGCTTGAGACCAATTGTAGTAGTTTTCCGCCGGTGTCATATTGTAGCCTGTTGTCCAGCTTATGGAAAGAGTTGCTTTGGGAAAGTATTTTTTGCAGAGAGATAAAAACCGAAAATGATCGACCGGAACGCATATCTTGTCGTAGCATGGACCAGGTAGTATGTCAGCGTTGAGCCAGATCGGGTTTTTGACATCCCTTCCGAATGTCATGTTCTCTATCATCGTCAGGGACGGCTCGACCACCACAATCGTCTTGAAATCCAACTTGATGCCCTTTGACGAGGTTGTTGTTTGCTTTAGAAAATCTGCCAGAGTGAGGTTGCTGTCCACGGCTGGAGGATGGGCCATCACTGGAGTACCATTTACCTAATGGAGACAATCAATCAATCAATCAATCAATCAATCAATCAATCAATCAATCAATCAATCAATCAATCAATCAATCAATCAATGAGTCAGTCGATCGATCGATCGATCAGTCAATCAGTTAATCAGTCATTCTTTCCCCATTCATCTAACCACCAATCAGTCAGTCAATCAATCAATTAATCAATCAATCAATCAATCAATCAATCAATCAATCAATCAGTCAACAATCAACCAATCAGTTAGTCAATCAATCAGTCAGTCAGTCAATCTATCGATCAGTCAGTCAATCAGTTAATTAGTCATTCTTTCCCCATTTATCTAACCATCAATCAGTCTATCAATCGATCAATCGATCAGTCATTCAACCAAACAACCAATCAATCAGTCACTCCTTATCTAGTGATCGAGATCAATCGATCGATTTGATCCACCAATTGATTAATCAGTCAATCAATCAATCAATCAATCAATCAATCAATCAAGCAATAAATCTTTCAGTCAGTCAGTCAGTCAATCAATCAATTGGTCAATAAATCAATCAATCAGCCAACCAATCAGTTAGTCAATCAATGAATCAGTCAATCAATCAGTGGATCAATCAATCAATCACAATCAGTCATTCAATCAATCGATTGATCCATTAACGAAACCAACTGATCAATTAATAACTTATTGATTAATCAATCATAAGTATTAATCATTCAGTTATTCTCCTACTCAATTAATCACCAAGTCACTGGCGAAATTTAGACAGTGTTTAAGATTCTTTTCTTGTTACACAGGCGTAAATACCTGAATGATCGAAGGGGAAATAATGGAAAGAGAATCCATTGATAAATCCCCTGACATACCTGATTGTTTCGCATCAAAACATCTGCTTCTAACATCATAATTTCGCCAGACAAACCCTGCTCAAGTTTTGTAGGCGAATTGACTGCATGTAACCAAGAGATGTCAAGCGCGTCACGCACTTTGAACCACGTCAAAATGTCGTCTCGTGCATCTTGGTGTTGTGTGATGTTGCATAATTTGGTGGTCTCTTGACTTGCTTGAACAAATGTATACACCAACGCTAAAAATGAAGAAAATGCTCAGAAAGACCGATTTCCATGTGAAGGAAATTGAAGACACTGAAATAATTCACACACTTGTACGTCAATCAGCGCTGGGGGTAATCACTGAATGACAAGCAGACAGATCAGGCCAAGTTCAGTTTTGCATCTATGGGTAAAATTTATTTGGTGATTAGGCGGGCTTAGAGTCAAGGAACGAAGTGTCTACAGACCTAAAACCTGGGGTTAAAATCCACAGGCTTTAGGTCTAACGTTCCAGGTATGAATCATGCCTACCGCAGCCTTGGTTGCTTAAAGCTACGGCTAAAGCCATGTTTAGACAAGCCTTAATAGAACACGAGTAATTAATATTCATTTGAGAGTCTAAAAGTCCGAATAATGTTATTTCTGAAAACGTTTCCGATGCGTTCGATGGAACTTGTTGTTTGATATGTTCTCCTCTGTAGCGGTGCCTTAAACAAGTGTATTAAATGGCCTGGTTATATAGTGTTTCTGTCCAAGTACATGACTGCGGGTAGTTCCAAGGTTCTTTAAATGTGAGGTCCCAAGAAGCTTGACGTGATCTATTGGAAAGACTTACCTAATATTGTTGCAGTAAAGAAAGAATTCATCGTGCATTTGAAGATTTGGGTCTATTTGAGGGACTAGTTAGATAAAGTCAACCTCTCCAACAACACTGAGCTGTCTGAGCTGATGAACGAATCGATCAAAGCTGTCGTGACTCTGAGGATTCGGAGTGTCTTTGTGACAGCTTTCACGATTTGTTATCACATTACGGTTTTTATATTCAGTCACGCCTCACATATAATCAGCTAGTGTAGAAAGACACGCTATCACAACTGACTTCAGCCAAGTAGAATAAACATAACAATCACATTAGCGAAGTTAAAAGCTGTCTTTTCCATGCCCGACTAGAAAACATTCTGAAAATGTCTTTTTTTTTTCGCCATGGGATCTATTCATGCAAGAGTGAACTGATATTATGTACTGATGGGTTTGCAATGGGCCTTAATCCAAACGCGCACTCAGGCTTAGTGTTAGTATCAGAGTATTGCAAAATACAGCCGATACCCTCCTATGGAAGACATCACGGTATAAAGGGATAAAAAGCTGAAAAGCTGGCTCTTTGGTTGCTGTTCCTTCCTGCTTCCCATCACACACTGCGCGCTACTAGGAAGAGGTTGAAAAAAGACGACTTGAGACAATTCAGTATTAAAAAGAAAATTGATAAGACGCTAGTGTAGTGATATTTTAGGTCTTCGTTACCTAATATTTTGTTAGAACTAACTTTTACAAGGGGCTGCCAGATAGCAAGAGAACATGAAAAACTCAAATGATTACGACATGGCTTTTGATTTGGTACAAACAACAGAGAAGTGTACGTGGACGAATAAAAGTTGCTGTTGAGAAATGGAAAACACTGTCCTTCGGTATACCGTAGTAAACAAATTTTTCAAAAATATATCAAAGTTCCTTCTCTCGTCATTAAAAGAAACGGAGTTCTTGGCTTTGAATAGCTAACGAGGACATGGAATTTGGCTTATTTCAATGTCACGATTTGAGAGTTTGGAAGGCTTGGGGGCCAATATTAATAGTTATATTTGTAACTGGTACGTAGTTGCGCGGAAGACTGGGTAAATGCGTCCCTCCAAAGTAGTCATATAGTGTCAAATAAATAAATAATAAATAATTCCGTTATTTACCCTCGGTAGTATTTATAGCACTAATGCTAGTGGGGCCGAGCAAATGCATGAAACAAATAATCTGAATCAAACATAACAGGGTTAAGAATCCCAACTAGCCGAAGGCAAACCAGCTGGCCATTTACAAGCGTGGCCGAGGATTTGAACTCGGGACTACCGAGAACAAATCCAGCTAGCGGTCGAGACGGGACTTGAACTCGAGGCCTCCGAATTACAAGACCAGTGCTCTAACCGCTCCGCCACGCTGCCTCCTAATGCCTATAATTCCATCCTATCACTTTTTTTCTGACATTTAATCTCGCTAAAAGGCTTTTAAAACTTATGTTAGGGAACTGAATAAGCCGATAAAAACCTGCGGAATTGATGGGATTTAAGCCGAACCCCACTGGAGAGTTTCAATGATCACTTGCCAAACCACACGTATCGCTTTTGTTGCACTGTATGCAGTAAATTCCGTATCATGAACCATGCCTAGGAGGATTGCTACTCCCCCCTGGACAGGATGCTAGTCCATTGTAGCGTTATCCCACCAGCAGTATGTCGCCGGCACCCATTTATACACCCGGGTAAAGAGAGACAAAGTGGTGTAAATTTCCTTGTCTAAGGAAAGAACGCGACGTGCGAGGCTTGAAGCCCGGACCTCCAGATTCAGAGTTCAAGGTGTTAACCGCTCGGCCACAAACGCCTCCACATGAGGTTTCTAAAGGAGTAGGCCATTTCCGAATTCCAAAAACTTTCACTTTCAAAACGAGGCTATGTGCAAAATCTTTGTTAAGGTTTTGAAAATGAGTTTTATTTCTATGGGAATCAAAAATAATTTTCATATCAATGGCTTTGCACTTAGCCTCCCTCTGAAACAGAGGCTTAAGGCCGCTCGGAAAGGCCTCTCACAGGTTTGAAATTCCAAAATAATACTTTCATCGGCCATGTTTCAAGAAACAAGACTGACAGTTCCTCTTAGCTTCGTCGAATTTATTTCTCAAACTTTGTACGCATAACCAGGTACATGTTAGTCGTATCGTCCATCAGCATTTCATTAAATACATGTTATGTCATTTCACTAATACTCGGTAACTTATTGTTTTGTTTGGAGATTTTCCATCGTCGTTTATAGTTAAAAGCTGTTTGCGAGCCAGCTTTAATTAATTAATCCTAACATTTGCTATGCAGGTGTCCAGCAATCGAAGGCGTCTAGAATGCTCAAAAGGCATTCTCTGTCTGTTACAAAATCCAAAAATTAATTATTGGAAAGCTATTCCTGTATAGAAATTCTTGAATACGAAGTGATTGATGAGATTTCCATTTTAGCTGCAGAAGATTCAGGCAATTTCCAGAATATTTATTGACCAGAAACAGGAACCTGATAGGCTCCTGCCGGAAAGCAATTTCAGTTGTAGCTTAATCTCATTCTTGCAGAGAGCCATGGAAAAGGAGCTGGCTTGTAACATTTCAGCGTTTCCTGCGTTTATCTGATGAAGAAAAGTTAAAGTAGTATTTATCAGTCTTCAGGCGAAGGCTTGTTTGAAAAACTGGATGTTATTTGTGACTTTGACATTACAATTAATTTTTCCCCACACAATTTTGCATGAGCATTGTTTTCATTTTGTCTTGAGACTGATAATAATCATCCCTGGAGAAGTTTCTATAAGCACAAAATGTTGATGGCAAAAGAAAAAAAATCACTTTTGTAAATCATGTTTCTTTTTTTGAAAATTTCAAAGAGTTAAAAAAGGAAACGTTTAATCAAAGAGGTCTCATTGAAATTGTAACAGAAGGCTAAAGAAATGTATTTCAGCAAATATTATAAAAAAAAAAAAAAAAGATGATAGGTAACCTTGAATCAAAAACTTTAAAGCGGAGTGGTTTAAAAGGACACTTACCTGAATCATCATCATCATCATCATCATCATCATCATCATCATCGTCATCATCTGCATCTCGACGTCTCCTGCGTTTATCTGCAGACAAAATAGTTTTAAAGGGAAAATTAATAAATAAAAATTGCTATTAAATAATTGATATTTGTCATGATTCGAAGGGAAGAAAATTTGTTAATAAAGAGATTAAGTTACCTTCATCGTCGTCGTCGTCATCGTCATCATCATCGTCATCATCTTCATCGCGACGTCTCCTACGTTTATCTGCAGACAAAATAGTTTGAAGAAAAAAATAAAATTAATAAATAAAATTTAATCACTGATATTTGTTAATCGAAGGGAAGAAAATTTGTTGATAAAGAGATTAAGTTACCATCATCGTCGTCGTCGTCGTCGTCGTCATCATCATCATCATCTGCATCTCTACGTCTCCTGCGTTTATCTGCAGAAAAAATAGTTTTAAGAAAAAATTAAGAAAAAAATTTATGAAATAATTGAAATTTGTTATTCGAAGGAAAGAAAACTTGTTATTAAAGACATTAAATTACCTTCATCGTCGTCGTCGTCGTCATCATCATCATCATCATCTGCATCTCTACGTCTCCTGCGTTTATCTGCAGAAAAAATAGTTTTAAGAAAAAATTAACAAAAAAAATTATGAAATAATTGAAATTTGTTATTCGAAGGAAAGAAAACTTGTTATTAAAGACATTAAATTACCTTCATCGTCGTCGTCGTCGTCGTCATCATCATCATCATCATCTGCATCTCTACGTCTCCTACGTTTATCTGCAGAAAAAGTAGTTTTTTAAAAAATTAAATTAACAAGTAAAATTAAATAATTGAAATTTGTTATTCGAAGGAAAGAAAACTTGTTAATAAAGAGATTAAGTTACCTTCATCGTCGTCATCGTCGTCATCATCATCATCATCATCTGCATCTCTACGTCTCCTACGTTTATCTGCAGAAAAAGTAGTTTTTAAAAAAATTAAATTAACAAGTAAAATTAAATAATTGAAATTTGTTATTCGAAGGAAAGAAAACTTGTTAATAAAGAGATTAAGTTACCTTCATCGTCGTCATCGTCGTCGTCATCATCATCATCATCTGCATCTCTACGTCTCCTGCGTTTATCTGCAGAAAAAATAGTTTTAAGAAAAAATTAATAAAAAAAATTTATGAAATAATTGAAATTTGTTATTCAAAGGAAAGAAAACTTGTTATTAAAGACATTAAGTTACCTTCATCGTCGTCGTCGTCGTCGTCATCATCATCATCATCTGAATCTCTACGTCTCCTGCGTTTATCTGCAGAAAAAAATTGTTTTTAAGTAAAAGTTAGTTGATAAGAAAAAAATTGTTAAATAATTGAAATTTGTTATTCGAAGGAAAGAAAACTTGTTAATAAAGAGATTAAGTTACCTTCATCGTCGTCGTCGTCGTCGTCATCATCATCATCATCTGCATCTCTACGTCTCCTGCGTTTATCTGCAGAAAAAATAGTTTTAAGAAAAAAATTAATAAAAAAAATTTATGAAATAATTGAAATTTGTTATTCGAAGGAAAGAAAACTTGTTATTAAAGACATTAAGTTACCTTCATCGTCGTCGTCGTCGTCGTCATCATCATCATCATCTGAATCTCTACGTCTCCTGCGTTTATCTGCAGGAAAAAATTGTTTTTAAGTAAAAGTTAGTTGATAAGAAAAAAATTGTTAAATAATTTATATTTGTTATTCGAAGGAAAGAAAACTTGTTAATAAAGAGATTAAGTTACCTTCATCGTCGTCGTCGTCATCATCATCGTCATCATCATCATCTGCATCTCGACGTCTCCTGCGTTTATCTGCAGGAAAAAATAGTTTTTAGAAAAACGATAATTGATAAAAAAAAAAAATGTTAAATAATTGATATTTGTTATTCGAAGGAAAGATAACTTGTTAATAACGAGATTAAGTTACCTTCATCGTCGTCGTCGTCATCATCATCGTCATCATCATCATCTGCATCTCGACGTCTCCTGCGTTTATCTGCAGGAAAAATTGTTTTTTTAAAAATTAAATTAACAAGTAAAATTTAATAATTGATATTTGTTATTCGAAGGAAAGCAAACTTGTTAATAACGAGATTAAGTTACCTTCATCGTCGTCGTCATCATCATCATCGTCATCATCATCATCTACATCTCGACGTCTCCTGCGTTTATCTGCAGACAAAATTGTTTTAAGAAAAAAAAATAATAGATAAAAAAAAAAAAATTAAATAATTGATATTTGCATGGTATTCGAAGGGAAGAAACTTGTTAATGAAAAGATTAAGTTACCTCCATCGTCGTCGTCGTCGTCGTCATCATCATCATCATCATCATCTGCATCTCGACGTCTCCTACGTTTATCTGCAGACAAAATAGTTTGAAGAAAAAAATAAAATTAATAAATAAAATTTAATAACTGATATGTTGTTAATCGAAGGGAAGAAAACTTGTTCATAAAGAGATTAAGTTACCTTCATCGTCGTCGTCGTCGTCGTCATCATCATCATCATCTGCATCTCTACGTCTCCTGCGTTTATCTGCAGACAAAATTGTTTTTTAAAAAATTAAATTAACTAGTAAAAATTAATAATTGAACTTTGTTATTCGAATTGAAGAAAACGTGTTATTAAAGAGATTAAGTTACCTTCATCATCGTCATCATCATCATCATCATCATCATCATCTGCATCTCTACGCCTCCTGCGTTTATCTGCAGAAAAAAAAATTAAAAAAGTTAATTGATTAAAAAAAATTGTTAAATAATTTATATTTGTTATTCGAAGAAAGAAAACTTGTTAATAAAGAGATTAAGTTACCTTCACTATCGTCGTCGTCATCATCATCATCGTCATCATCATCATCTGCATCTCGACGTCTCCTGCGTTTGTCTGCAGACAAAATAAGATCAAAAGAAAAGTTTTTTAAGGAAATGAATAAAATTGATTGATAAAATCTATCATTAATTAACTGATATTTGTCATTGGAAGGAAACAAAACCGTCATCATCTACATCTCGACGTTTCCTGCGCGTATGTACAGACAAAATAGTTTTTAAGGAAGATGTGACTTAATAAAAAACTACTTGTTGAGTTACTTAATCTTCGGAGTTTTTTAAAAACGTTCTTCAATAACTTCCAGTGTCAAGCTACCCAAAGCAAAGCAAAGGTTCAGGTAAGGACTGGATGAGTTGTCGACCCGAATGCCGTTCTGCACTGGACAATCTTGAATGGAAGGGGATTGCGTTATACTGAATTCAGGGAAAATACGTAACGATCATCAGATTCGTCGGTGGTTTTCTTCCATTAGGCCACAATGCCACAGCGCTTTTTGCATCAGGCGATTCCATTTTTCAATGCTAAAAGTTATCAAAAGTTTTTCGTTCGCTTGGTATACCCTCGGTCTAATCTTGCTTCTTACAGAAATTGAAATTTTTTTGTATTGAATTTTAATCTTACTTTTGCAAGGTAAATTGCCCGCACCAGCTGTGTGCACTACTTATACAGTGATCCATCTAGCCCAAACGCTCTTAAAATGCTTCAAAGAAAATGGCTATAGATTCAACGTTAAGGCCATCGTTACTCGGTAATGGACTCTTTTTTGACACATATATATTTTTAGGATTTGAATTTCATTGGCAGATGCCAGGTATTTTCTACCCCTATTAAACCTATTAAACTCATTGATTTATTAAGGATCGATAGCGTCGTCACTATCTTCTCCATCGTCACCATCATCTTCTGAATCTCGGCGTTTCCTTCGTGAGTCTAAGAATAAACGAAACCCAAAATATATCTTCCACGAGACAAATAAGCAAAAAGTTTGAAACAAAGAGATGCTTTTTTTGTACTCTGATCTCCTGGTTTGCTTGGGAGAGACAGAAAAAAGCTCACGGGCACAAGTTCAATTGAGAAACCTCCTCTGAATCGTATTGAAACAGGATTTTAAAAAAACCTTTCTTGTCCAACAACTAACAACTAAAGCTAACTAACGGTTTACTAAGCGCATGAATTACCGCCGTCGTCGCTATCGTCGTCGCTATCATCTCCATCCTCTCCATCATCATCTCCATCGTCCCGTTTTACACGTACATCTGGTTCTGCTTCTTCTGGCATTGGCCGTGCAAGGCAAGTACAAGCCAACAGGGCTAAGAAAAGAAGTGCAAAGAGTGGCTTAATCATTTTGCTTTTGCTGTGAAGGGAACCTGTTGTGTCCAGCGTTTTGCAAGTAGCAGCTCATGACCAATTCTTACACTGAATCCCTTTTTATAGCATCTTGCTTACAGATATTGTAAGCATGAAAAGTGGCATCATCAAAGAGGTCGAAGTCGAGGAATCATTTTTTATTTACAAGGAGTTGCTATGAGTGATCCGTTTGTTCTAGACAGTAAAACGCCTTTCATAAGTGCTTCCTTGGAAATATTGTGTTAGGTACCCTGTAGTATGTCGCTCTGGCTGTTTTAGAATGAATAACACTGATTGCAAATTACGATAAGGGCGAGAAAAGAGTAATCGTGAAAAATAACAGGCTGAAAATCTTCTGCGTAAATGGTATAAAAATGAAAAAAAGATCTCTTCATCTGTAATAGCCTTTTTTTGCGAGATACGTACACATATTGTTTTATTGCCCTTGTGGGGTTACTAAGCAACGCGTAAACTATCCGTTGGTTGCATGAAAAACATCAAATATTCTCTATTTATATTGTAAGGTACCTTGGTTATCTATTTGCCGCTAAAATGTCGTTTTTAAGGTTTTATAGCTGACTTTATCTAGAAAGTCATTTACGAATTTCGAGATTTTTCTCGTACTTGCAATGACTATGGGTACAGGAAGAATAAATCTTATTCTTACTAGTTTCATAGTAGCTTACTTGTTCAAAACGAAATTAGAAAGGCAAGGAATGATGAATTGATTAGCTGTCGGTATTTTTTGAAGTGCAGTTATTTTTAATTTGATCTTGTTATCGTGAGAACGGAGGTATATTCGATGGCGACCTTCATTAACCAGTTATATTGTTGTCCTTGCGTTGCATGATGATACTTGTACTGGTTTAATTAAAAGTGGTTGAGTTAAACTACAGCATAATAAAATGAACTATATAAATTATTCCGTTTCCTTTTAGTTTTATTGTTTACCGCATTAAGTGACTTTTACGCTTTTTATATCATACACGAGTAAGAGTGTTTCATTTGATAATCGAACATTGAAAATTGGTGTGAAAAAAAGAACAGCTAACTACGTGTTGTCTTAATATCAGGTGAAACACATTTTTGATAAAGATTCTTAAAGGATTATTAACCACACCTTTAAAAAACATGAAAGTAACAGCTAGCAAAGTTCTACGATAACTAGCATTGCGTTCTCGATTTTCCTTTTTTCATATAAAGTGTCAAAAAGCTTTAGTCAAAGCTGAATGGGGCGGAAATCCATCACGAATGCTTGCAGCTGGCGCCTCAATACAGTAAAAAATTCATTCATGTGAAGGAATTCTGTTTTTTTTTTCTCCGGGGATGGCATGGTTAATGTTGTTTTTCACTCTGGCGAGATCCAAATTGTTTCTTAGTAATTAATTAATATGTAGTCTTGTTCACATTCTGGCTGATTCGTTTTCATTTTGTACACAAATGTGGCTTACCATATAGAAATCAGTTTGTTTTTATAACAATCCGTGGCAAAAGCATTTCAATTAATTATATATGGCCGTCCAAAAGCAAGATTGCATTAGCTGCGTGAAAGCTCCTTGATTTCAACGCTTTCGCTAGTTTAACTGAGGGATTCCACGAACGTTCAAAGCTCTATAACTTGCTTCCTACTTGTATGGTGACCGGCGAGGTGAAAGAACATGTAAACGTCTTTAATAACAGATTTTATCCAGAAGTCCCAGAGAAAAATATTGTCAGTGAGGTTGTCTGGAATGTTCTTGTGGCTGGCTGTGATAAGCTATACACTTGCCTGTACTTTATGATATTGTTGATATTCTAATTTCTCCATGCAGCTATCTGTCAGTTATTTTCAAATTGTCATAATTTGGTCGATCAGGATCGTCCGGTTTAGTGTATAGTCCTCAATGGTGATGGTCTAGGATGTTTGAACAAATGGATGTGGAGGTCTCTTAGATTGGAAGTGCCAGTGTCTTACAAAAACATGTCCCAATGATTCTGTTATTGTGATGAGCTGATTTATGAAAAACTTCGAAGAATCTGTGGTATATTGGCAGGGATTGAGGAAAAAAATACGTGATGGATCCTTCTTTCCAAGGACTCGTCAAGGTGGGGCTGACCCCGTTATCACGGAGGCCAGGCTTCTGTTTCCTGAGAGACATACAAGCCCGTCCATTTGTCTTACTGCAGGGAGTGTTCTTTCTGGGCTTTTGATCGATGTTCAAGAACAATATGCAGGAATGTGGTGTAAATCTAACTTTCATAAGAAAGTATGTGAGCTTGACCATCAAAAGGAACTTTTAGCATAACTTTTTAATGGTATTATTTGAATCTATTTCATACAAATGAAAGCGCGTTAATAAATGTTCTTGGATTATGGGCGATTGTTAGGCGGCCTCGAACATGAAAGGTTAATGAGGCCTAAGTCTCGTGGACAACTGTTCCGAAGTTTCCGCAAATCAGAACTGAAAAAATTGTTCCAAACCGCATCTTAAAGCTCACTTAAACCTAAGTTGTTATTATGTCCTTGTATTATACTTGAGAACCTCACAACTCTTTTGAAACGTGTTCACCAACTAACTTAGTGAATGATTATTCATAAACATCTCAACAAGGTCTCTAGTCTTCAAGCTTTAAAAACTGGAAGTAACGTAACTTGCCCTGAATTGTCGATCCACATACAAATTCAGAGCAAAAATTAACGATTCTCTTTCCTGAAAACAGTATAGCAGAGACTTTCTGAATAAGTACTATACACAAGTATTATTAGAATACAACTCTTCCCATAAGGCTTATGCTACTGTCATCATTTTTACCCCCCAATTTATGTCGTCAAAAAGCATTCTAACCAGCTCTGAAGCAGCTATAATTGCTGTTGGACCATTTTAACGATGCTCAGCCTGTTATTTAAAATGTACCTTAATCTCGAGAGCACTGAGCTTATCTTGATTATCTCTTCCATCTTACGAATTGTTTTATCTCGTCTTGTCTCTTTTCGTCTCAAATATATTTTTATTAACATTTAACGTATACTTATTTGTTTGTAAGGAAGTTCAGTGCTAACGTCTTTCACTGAGAGTGTTTTTATGACAGTGTGTGATCAAGCAAACAAAAGAGCAGTTGTTAGTACATTCCATCCAATCACGGGATCCGAAACTAATCCTTTCAAACTTTGACAGAGTTTTCTTTAGGTATACTGTTCGTTTATATGATAAAAGCAAACATATTCAGCATCTCTTGGTAGCATACACTCGATGGTCCCTTGCAAAGAGGGGTGCGAAAATTCATCCGTCACTGACACGCGATCTTTCTTTCATTTAATAGAATTTCTTGGCATATAACAGTTTGTCTTCTATCTGACAATTTTTTTTATTTTTGCAGCGTTAATAGCTGCTATCATACGATTAGCACAATGATGAAACCTTTGAGTGAAAAGTCTAACTGGGCAGTGAATTCGTTAACTTCAGACTGGATTCTACAAGACAATTTCTTTATTCCGCTGATAGCTGATCAATATTATTGGTCAATGTTGTTTGAGATCCAAATTGTTTGTCAGTGACCAATATGAAGTCTTTTTCAAAGAACTGGCTTATTTGATTTAATGTATGTACACTTGTGTTTTACCACATAGAAACCCTTTTTTGTAACAATCCTTGCCGAACCGATCATATTTAATAACTTATAAAAAGCCGTCTGACACCGGCTGCGTATTAGAATGCGCTTTTTGCAGTCGAACTAATAACTTGTAGGCGTTTCGAATACATGGTTTCAGAGGGTCTCAGGCGACGTTTTTTTAGTTGAAACTCTAGCTTGCTTCTTGCCTCCATAGTGATTTATATCAAAATTTATCCAGAAGTCAACAGAAGGAAAATATTGACATTGAGGTTACTTGGAATTCTGGCTTGTGGATGGCCTTGGTAGATATTCACTTGTTTTCAGTTATGATATCGTTCATGTTCTTATAATTCAATTTGTCGAACGATTACATAATTCGGCTGAATAAAGTTGTTGTTTTAGTTTGCAGTGCTAAGAAGGACTTTTGGTACCTTGCTAGCAGAGACTTTTTTTCCCCCATGGTTTTGAGCTTTTATGAAGTTGTTCCACCAGTCGCTGATATTCGCTTCATTGGCTTGGTTCAGTTACGTAAGCTAACAAGCCAACTACTGGAATGTCAGCGACGAAAACGACTTCGTAACAAGTGCTTACCGGCATACTGTAAAGAAACCACTGCCAGCGGGGTAGACTTTTGGTGACATTTCACAACGTTTGGACAATCTGGGCGTGGAAGTCATCGTAAGAGTAAAAGTGCCATAATGTACAAAAACATGTCCCAATGTTTCTTATATCGGAACCAATTAACAACAGAGGCCAAAAACTCTGTAGTATATTGGCATGGAAGAGCAAAACAAAAAACAAAAAATGGTGCTCGATGGGTCCTTCGTTCTTTCAAAGGACTCGTCAAGGTGAGATTAGGCTGAATCATTTATTACGAAAGTAAGACTTTTATTTACCGGGACACGTTATACGAGTTAAGTCCGTCAGTTATCTTTCTGAGCTTTAGTGGCTTTCCTTCGATGTAAAAAAAAAAAAGGATGCGGTGCAGGTACGCTACCTTAATAATTCTGTAAGATAAGGTTTGGCTGTTAACATGAAATTGTTGGAAAAAGACTAGACAGTTAAAGGTTAGCTTTTTAAACAAGTAGCAAATCACTGTTTGTTTCTTTTTCATTCGTTTTTTTTTTTTGCTTTATATATTTTAACTAGTAATAACATCCTCTGACTACGATTAGAATATTTCTTTACATGGGCTATTTGTTAGACAGAAAACAGCAAATGGAACTAATGTACAATCCAGATACCAGTTATAGGTGTAACCTCCTCAGTAGTCGGTATCGTCATGGAAATCCAAGGCCCATGAGGGATTCCTGCCAGGAGCAGCCCAACCGCTGCAGCTTCTTCGGGTCCCCTGACACTTTGAGCTGCCAAGAGTTTCCTTGAAACAGACGCGGCACACTTTAAAG